TTAAAGTATTTATCACATTGAGAACTGTAGAAAGATGCATATTTTTGGACCAATAAAGGGGTGTAACATACTTTTGAAACTAGAGAGATAGCCTGGTATTCGTGAACAATGGGCAAGACATTATCACGTTGGTTCCTGGGGTACAAGAGAAGTTCATAGTTGAATTCTAGGGGTCATTTAATTTTATGCTTTTACTGTGTATTAACCCTGTGATTGTGGTTGGTCAATGGTAAGTGTATGGACTTGCAATGCTAAAATCAAGGGTTTTATTCTCTATAGTGTACAGATTACAGATAGCCCATTATTTAATTTTGCACTAAAACTGCAGCATTTTGATTTTATGTTTTGCTGTTTTTGACTTAATAACGTGGTTAGTGATGAGCATGAAAGTTATTCAAAACTGTTGTCATGGTGAGGAGATTGTCAAAATAAAAAACAACTTTGAGACAGTAAAGTTTGAAGACTGCTTGAATAGGTAATGAAGAAAACTATTACAAGTTTAACATTGAACGTTTGTTACTATGTTAAACTTGTAATTTTCTTCATTACCAATTCAAGCTATTTTTAAACTTTACTTGTCAGAATAGTGAATGCTATTGTTGTCAACACAAGAAAAATTACTTTTAAGTTTTTCCAAACCTTAAACTGGATTAAACACACTTGTCTTTGTCTTATTTTGATGAATTTCTTATACACAGGCCGTATGTAATTAATTTAATTGCCGAGGAAACATCCAGACTATTGACAGTAGGAGGAATATTAAATTTCAGAGCTTTTTAAACAGCTTCTGAGAATTGTACCAAAACTATATTTAAGTAGACACATTTTTGTTTTTCCTCTTCTACACTTGATCTACTTAGGTACTTTATTTATTCAGACATGATTGTGAGAAGGCCTTCAGAAAATTTATATCTTAAAGTGAAATCAATTAGAATTTAATCGATGTTTGTATCAAGACCTATTACTTTGTTTTCTTAATTATTTGTTTATATCTGAAAAGGTGAAACTTTATCATCCATTTTTTAGGTAATTCACAAAGACTATGTGACTATAAAATTTATAATATCTACCTCATCCTGGTATTGCTCACAATAGTAGTAGTTGTATTACATTGTTTTTTTTTCTCTTTATCATAGCTGTAAATATTATGCATTATTTTATTATTAGAATAATTTAAAATTCATAACTTTTTCAAACAACCAAAAAGGTTCACATAAGGTATTGAATTTTAGAACTTTGGATTTTTTATTCTGAAGATACCACTTAAGTGAATTTACACTTGTATTAGTACATCAAATATAAAAAAAAATAATTATTTTCCATGTTCATTAGAGATACTATAAATCTAGGTATTACAGTATGCTTCATGTGTTGGACCAGTCCACCAATAATATATTTTATCAACAGGCTTCATACATAGACACATCAGTTAAAATTTGATAGATTGGCTTTTTTGTCATTGGTCCACTTTTTTAAGATTAAAGTTGAAAAATTATGTAACTTTTTTTTTGCATACAAAATGAGACCAAACATGTAGATGACAATTATGTAAGTATACATAAATATTGTCAAAAAATAACATTGGTGTTTGTGTGGTAATCTCATTGAAATATCAACCACTCTTGGACATTGTTTGTTAGCTAAAATTTAAAGTATCAAAAGCATGAAATAGATATATATTTTACCATGATGTTTAACTTATAAGGTTAGGCCATTTTTATACAATTTTTAATCAATTATTGATTGATAATTGGCTGCTCTTTTTACATATAGGTAGAAAAGGAAACAACATGCCATTATATTATTATCATACCATATACATGTATGTCTTTGAAATTGAAGGATCTTTTCACTAATCTTATTTTGAAGTTAAAAGAAAAACAACACTACTACAAAAATATTTATGACATAGTGCTTACATGTATGTGAATGTTAGATGCTTTGTTATGTACTGTAAAATTTGAAATATATTTAGTTGAATTTTATTTTTATACAGGTGTAGACAGTACCATGTTTTTACAAACATTTCAACCTATAAATGATTAGGCACACTTTCCCTCCACTGTAATCCAAAACAAGTTCCATATGAATGGTCTGAATACTTTGAAAAATGTTCACTTTCAGGATTTGTCATAAAAAAAATTATGGATTGTTTTTTTCAGCTATTACTTTTATTTCTAGTTAATACTTAGAATTCCATTATTTTCAATCCAAATTTACTATGTATGTAAAAGAAAGTGTCAAGAATGTGAATTGATTATAAATTTTTAACAAAACTGATTAGTTGTATTTAGTGATTTCTATGTGATTTTTTTCAAACCAGGTTCTGAACCAGGTTGTTTTATGGGATAAGATTATTCGTAGAGGAGATGAAGCAAAGATAGACTATAGAAATGTCAACCCCAAGTATTACTTCTGGGATGATGGCAATGGTCTCAGGTTTGTACAAATGCAATTAAATAACTTGTTTTTATTTGTTATTGCATATGCCACTTAGATGATCAAAAGAACATTCTAAACAATTGCAAAATATAGCTACATTGTAGTAAAATTAAAATGTTGAATGTCAGAACTACATTTGCCTAAATCTTATAATTCCATGGCATAAATTAAAAACAGTTAAAAATTAAGAGATTATCTGTATGCAATAACTACAGTAGCCTAAGCATTATACATGTACAACTACTCAGTTAATTATTTGAAGAACTTTTACTTAATAGAACAAATTCTTTTTAACTTGTATAACTGTTTAATATTCAGTTTGAATTTTTGTATATTAAAAAACTTTTTTTCAACCACTCTTGAAATGTTTTGATTTTAAAGTAACTTCTTTTATTTTGCATTTGGCTTTTAAAACTTAAATTTTGTTTGGCATGGTGTCTAAAGTTTTCTGATTAGCTTTTAAGAATATGAGAAATAGGATATCTTTAAAATGTGTTTTTTTTTTAAATGGCTTGTATTTTATCTTTTAGAACAGTCAAATGTGGAATTTTGATTTCTTTAATCCCACTTATAGTTGAGTTATTTGTGCATTGAGTAAAACCTAATATTATATCACCATTTTTATCATATTTTATGTTTTACTTACACATAAATATCGTATTATCTGACAGTATGCATGGACTTTTTAGAAAAGTTGAAAGGAAAATTAATTTACTTAAATATGGCTTTGTTGATATCTTAAACTTTATGTGGTTCTGTATAAATCAAAACTACTCGAGTGTGATTTCAAACAATCCTATGAAAATTCTAAATGTTTGTAGATATATATACATTTTCACTAAAGAAGGTAGATTATCACAAGTATAATTAACCTCTCACAAACTAATATGTTTATAGTGTTTCTGTATTTTTGATATCATGTTTCTTTGTATCTTTTGGTTTTTCCACACAAATATATATACAACTTCAAAGAATTATCTGAAAATGGGTATGATGCAAGAGCTAAGAGTAAGCATATGACATGCATCTTAAAACCTGTTCTTCTACATATGAAATATCATAGATTCTCTGATGTTTTCATTTAGACCTTGTATTTGTGTACATTGAATCAGATTTGCACTTGTTTTCTTTAGTTAGTTTATGTGATGCAGCTCTAAGTTACATAACAGTATGAATATTTACTGCTTACTGGATAAAAGTGAGAATGGTTTTGTATGAACCACTAAAACTATAAATATTTGCAAAACATGCTTCTGCTAAAATACACAGTAAGAAACTTTTAATATTTTGATGTAATTTTCAGTGGCCCGCCAAACATTGTATTGTGTTACTGGTGTCATCCTACAACACAGTTCATCAGCAAATATAAGTCACTACTGTACAGGCCTGGCATGGCCAGGTGGTTAGGGTGCTCGACTCTCAATATGCAGGTCGCGGGTTCGAATCCCTGTCACACCAAAACATGCTCACCCAGTGTCCGGACTAGGATGCTAGTCCTACTCCCGGATAAACGCCTCCAAAATAATTTGGAGGTGTGAGAAACACCATAAGCAACTACTAGTCACTACTGTAGAATTTTAAGTTAATTGGTATGGCAACATTATTTTGGGGTTAAAATTATATCAGTTTCACAAGTTTCTTCAAACTGTTATATAGGTACTCATAATTATTGAAGTTCTAAATGGTGAGTTGGAAACATATTAAATTGCCCTTAAGAGAAAGAGACAAAAAAAGTAAGAATACTGTTCAGGTGTAGTTTAAAAGATTTAGTGATTAATCAAGACAGATAATCAATTGTAAGCTTCTTCCCTTGATAGCTGTTACATCTGAATAGTGTTCAAAATTTAACATCATTTTAGAAATTCAGTTTAGTTATTTGAAACTTATCAGAAAATTTTAAGTTTTATAAAATATTTAATTTTTTCTAAGTAAAAAAATACAAATTTATTTGTTTGTATCATTGTATGTAAAATGCCTCTAAATTACACTAAAATTGAGATTTGAGCAAAGAGATCAAGAAAGCCTAGTATTTTCAGTTTTTAATTATACTTTAACCCTATTGCCATGAGTATCCTATATTACACGTGACACAAGGTTTTAGTGTCTTACATTCAAAATTTTATTAAACTACCTTTTATTTGTTATACCTATTAGTATAGCATAAAATCTTATCTCATAATCCATATTTTAATAGTATACAAGTTTTAAGTTTTTAATTCTACAAGGCAATATTTTAAAAAATCTTCAATTTTCCCTAGTGTGATACATTTTCTCTATGCATCTTCTTTTCTCTATCTTGTCCACCAACCCCTCCAAAAAGTATGAAATTAAACGTAAATTACTCACTATAAAAACGTCATTGCTCAGACAAACCATAATTTTTATAGCCTTCAATTTTGTTTGGTTACAGTGCTATCAAATATAAAATCAGGCCCTTCCTGCCATACCCACCTGTCATTCTCTCTTTCAGTATTTCTTAATAGTTCTCTCTTACATTTAATTATATATTACCTATAACCAAAAGCAAGCCAAGGTTTTCATCTATCAAATGATGTATTGTATAATGTTGTGTTCTGAACACATAATAATCAGTATCACTCAGTGTACAAGCTCCATTCCCTTGGGAAAGCTAACAACTAGCTTGGATGAACTTGTAATGGCTTTTGTCGCATAGTTAGAAAGCCAGAAAAATTTTGATATAGGGGAAATTGTCAACTTTTTGCATGTTATTATTCTATGTTCTTTGGTGCATTATTTAATTAAATAAAAATTATTTTGTGTATTACTACCATTAGTATAAAAATAAAGTAGGGTTAAGTGTCATCAACAATTGACAGCAAGTAAAAAGAAGATTGGGTAAGTACTTTAATTCTTGTTTCTCATGTTTATTCTTTTTTTTATCATTATAAAGGTTAACTAAAATGTAAAAATAGGGATCTTTTTAGGATAGATAAGATCAGATTAGGTAAAATACATAATAATAATATAATAATGTTTCAGGAGGCATGTAAGTGAGCTGCACATACCCCGAGTGAATTACAACTTATAATGGCACGGATAGTAGTTAGACATGATTCAAAGGGCGATAAAACAAATTTCGTTATAAATAGATGTATACTGTTACGAGTTTAAAGCTACTCAGGATAAATTAATGTAGTTTTATGCTACATTTTAAGTCATTCTAGAAAAAAAAAGAGTAATTTAGATTAAATATATTGTTTACAGTCACAACTCTTTAACTCTCTCAACACAGGCTTGGTCAATCTGACCAACCACATGAACTCTATGTACTCATTTAAAGTCTATAGTTATATAGTTTAAAATATTTTTTTAGTGAAGTATTTTTAATAAAGTAAAATAATGATTTGTCCATGAATCTATCAAGTATTTGTTTTTAATAGTCTGTGTGCAAAGTGATTTTCATATTAAGATTAAAAATACTTTTCTTCACCTCAAATTTCATTTGTGTAATCTCTAAAACCTCATAAATACATTTTAAATGTTTGTTTTGAGTAAAACTATCTGTTATTTTCTCTACCCTAAGTCTATACAAGGTTGTTCAATTTGACTGACCTTGTACACCCCCCCCCCCAAATCCAAATATTTTATATATATAGCTTGTTTTAAGGTTACTTTAAATGACTTGAATAGTTGCAAATTAAGATCTTTGTATATTATCCAAAACTTTTTTTTCTATCATCTATCATCTATAGGGGAAACAAGAATATCACCTTGACACTCTCATGGAATGTAATACCAAATGCTGGAAGTTTACCAAATGTATTTGGTACTGGTAGCCACAGCTTTAGCTTTCCTGCAGAATACACAACTTCCAGAGTTATGTGAGAATGAATCCCGGGAATGCTACTTTCTTTCATCAGAAAACATCTATTTCCACGATGTTGTGAATACGACATCACATCTCTCATTTTTTCTTAAAGTTTACTAGTGTAACAAAATATTTTCCCTTCCTTACACACCATAGTTGGATATCTTGGAAAATAAACTAATTCAATAAGGTTCAATAGATGATATACTGCAGAGAAAAGATTGAGTTTACTTATATATGTTGTATAACTGTGGTAGCAAGTTTAATAAAGTGTTCATGTTCTCTGTGAGGAAAATTATTTGTTTTAATTGCTTAGCATAACATTTTATTTTATTCATTAAATATTTATTACTTAAATTACTTATTTGAGATAAAAAGGTAAGATACAATGGCTTAACAATAAGTTAAATTAAATAAAATTAAACAAGATAAAAATGCATCACTAAATAAAAACATGAAACAGATAAAAAAAAAAAAAATTTAGCAAGCCAATACCATTAAATTTGTTACCTGATGAGTAACATCCAGTTTTACTACAGAGTTTACTTGGACTAAGTTTAGTCTCTAAGAAATAGTTGGGTGTGTTTGGTTGATTCAGTCTGTATGTCGGTGATCTATTAAGGGCTTGAGTTTCTTTGCAATAACAAACTTCCTTTCACCAGTGGATGAATTATCCTCAGATTCTTTGTATAAATTTATCACATTATGGTCAATTTCAGACATTAATGCTACACAAAGGACTGTATATTTTTTATCTTGGATGTTTCTGTGAAGGTACTGCATTGTAGATAATGGATATATTTTTGAATCATTTAATTTTTTATGCTACTTTTGGGTAACGACCTACATATATCATAGCGTTTATTGTTAAAAACAAAACTCTGAACAGATACTTTTTTTTTTCAAGTATTATGTCTCCTTCAGTGAGTAAATTATTTTTCTCGTTAAGAAATGCTTGATAGAGATATTACCAAATCCTGCTGTTAGTTTCGCAAAATAATTGTACGGATATGTAATAGGCATGAAAGTTTTGAGTATTGTACCAAAAGATCTGGTGTCAATTACATTTTAAAAATATTTATTGTACAAGGGCTCTAATAAATCAAATGGGTATATACCATAACTTTTAAATATTGAATATTTTCAAGTACAAGAGGAAAACTACATTCAATATTCAAGCAATTTTGATAAGTGGAATATAATAGAATAGGTCAGTTTTTTTTATGGAATTAGAATTTTATTTTAATTAATATAGTTTCAGAGCCCAGTTCATTAGGAATTGTAAAATATTATGGATGTATTCCCTCCTACTACCGTATATTATAAAGTCGTCTATGAGTTCTCATATTAGTTTATATGACAAAATGGCATGTTTAGTGTAAAGAAAATAATAAGGAAAATCTCCAAGGGTAAAAAACTTCAAATACAATAAATATATAATAACAGAACATTGCTAGAATAAATAAAGTCCACCTTTATATTTTACTTTATTATATAATACATACTACAAAATAGTCATGTTATCTAAATTTTTAGTCTTCTGTTGAAAGAAACGTTTAATATCCTTTCCTTCCACGAAATCTCTGTCGGTTGTCCAGCTAAGAAAACAGAACTGCTATAAAAGCACCATTCAAGCTCAAATACCTTGTTATTCTTAAAATAAATTAGATTCATTGTCAAGCTTTTATCATTGATAAGACAAGCCAAGATATGGAGGAAATACATCACCAGTTAAAGATTATATTATAGGATTTACTTTTAGCATTTATTAATTCACCTTAAAATCAGTGATTGACATCAAAAATCACTTTGTATTAAATTAATATGCTGTTCATATTACTTTGAAATCAAAAATACCTAATGACTTTTAATTTACTGCAAAGAGGTTATATATTCTGACCAAAACAAATAAAACGAAAACATGGTAACTGTTAGAAAGGTAAATGGAAATAAAAAAAAGCAGGAATGACAAAACTAAAACCTTTTATCTATAATAAAAAAATTCATGATATTTTACTCTTTTCCTCCTGTCAAAGGAAACAATGTAGCATAACTTGTATTACTTTATTCTTGGGGGCTACTCCCCTACTTATGCCAAACCCCATTTTTTACTATTACCAATTCTGTGAAATGACCAATGACAATACCTTACTGAAGGGCAAAGGCTGATTACAAGTTTTATAATTAGGACTTGTACTAAAAGCTTTATGTTCTAATTTTTAAGTATTAACACTATATTTCATAATTTTAAGTGTAGAGAAAGAGATAGATCCTTCTGTTATGATAGTTATAAAACAAAGCCTTTATCTCAATGTAATTGACTGTGGATGTCTGAAACCAGAATAAATGATAAATCCAGTTTTAGTTGTCAAGCTACGTTACTTTATATTTTGGATATGAGGACTGAAAGCCACATGTACCTACTAATAAGTATATAAAAGACAGAAAAAATTTTTTTTTTAATTTAATAAAGAAATATGATTAAGTTTCCAGAATGAAATATGTACATATTACTAGTGAGATTTATAACTGTTCCGTTTCAGCTTAAACATGAATTTGGTATGGAATATTCAGGTTAAGAGATTTTTGATAAATTCTTTCTCAAGTAAAAAATTAGAAATGTGAATAAATAATTCACTTTATTGCTTTGCTTACCAAAGATCGTTTACATTCAAAGAATGTTTGTCTAAGTTGATAGCACTCTGCAGGAACACTGGAATCATGAGATAATAGGCAATCTTTTGGTGTTCTCTTATGCTGGGAAGAAAAAAGAATTCTCAAGACAACTTTAACAATATACTTTATTTAAATATGAAAGTTCCTCAAATGAGATCAGTGTGTTTTTTTTTTAACTTAATAATATATAAGCATCAATTTCTATGTGAAAATCACCAATTTGAGGTAACATGTGAATTGTTCAATATAGTAACAGATTTGGAACTGTTTGAAATTCTTGTTTCACATATCTAATACAAGATGCCATGAACAAATAACGATACCTGTTTTGTCGTGTGCCAGCTGACTGATCAGATATGACTATACAAAAGTATAATGGTATTTTAAATATGCAAGACTAAGTGAAAGGGAACAGGAAATATTATTTAAGAGATAGATGAAGGGCTGGAGAAGAATGTCACAATGAAGGTGGATTTGGCAGGGAAGGAGAAGATCACTTGCATGCTTTGTGAGCACTTCCAAAAGTTATACTGCCAGAAAGGCCATGTGTGACTTCTTTAAAGATCTCAAATTACTCATCTTGTGGAGCAAAGAACTTGGAAGATCACACTAGTGACAAACTATATAACAGAAATGGTTCCTCAATACATCCTGAATCTGGGCTTGGGGAAAAGCAGTCACAAAACAGCTTATCTAATGGAAAATCTACATCATTCACCCTGTGTTTCTGAAAGCTGGGGCCAAAAGAAAAGAATTCACCTACCAGTTGTCTCAGTTGGCAATCAAAACACAAATACTTAGGAATTCAGAAATTTGTAAATATTGCCACTATTATGTGAGACGGGGATAAAGTTATTGTCTCACTAGGCCATGAACATGAGAACTTCTGGTGTTTTGAGTTGTCTTTCACTCACCACAATAAACCTATATTTACACAAGTTTGAAAGAGTACATAGAATTAGCATAATGTTTAGGGACAACATGGGGCCTATTAGTCCATCTAGGCTGTCCCATCCTTTAAACTAAACTAAAACTATTAATAAATAAATTAAAAAAAAGTTAAAAACCAGCTCTTATCATTCATATACTTAACAAGTTTTCTCTTAAACTCACTTAAATTTACTCCCTCCACAACATCCGAAGACAACGCATTCCAGAAGCCAACTACTCTGGTACAAAAATAAAACTGTCTTAGCTGAAGATGATTCCTACCTTACCAAAATTTATATTTGTGCTCCTAGTCCTACCATTCTCACCATTAGGTATGAAAAAAAATGATGTATCAACACAATCAATTCTCTTAACAATCTGAAACACCTCAATCAGATCCCCTCTAACTCTTCTTTTTTCAAGAGAACAATTTCAGAGATCTTAACCTATCCTCATATGACAACCCCTCCATTCCAGGTACCCTTCTAGTAGCCCTCTTCTGAACTCTTATAAAGAATTCAATGTCCTTCCTAAGGTAAGGAGTCCAAATGTGGCCTAACCAGTGACCCATACAATGAAATTATAACTTTTTTTAGACTTGTATTCAATATTTCTGTAGATACAACCTAAAATCCTACTTGCCCTACCACTAGCAATAGCATGGATGGCTTATGAGACTGATTAACCACTACACCAAGATCCCTTTCTTTTGTAACACTATTAAGGTTATTCCCATCCAAATTATACTTATAATTCAAATTATGATAACCTACATGATTAGCTCGCATTTATTATAATTAAACCCATCTACCATTTATTCACCCAACTCACTAAATGACCTAAATCCTTTTGTAAAGCAGCAACATCCTCCTCACAGCCAGCAACACCTAAGACCTTAATATCACTGACATAAATAAAAAAGAGCAAAGGTCCTAAGACTGAGCTCTGAAGTACCCTACTTGTGACATTAATCCAGTTTAACTGAACTCTATTTATAACAACCCTCTGCTTTCTTCCATCCAATTAGCTAACTTATCCCCCACACCTATACAGATAATTTTTTCTACAAGCCTTTTATGTGGCATCTTGTCAAATGATTTCTGAAAATCCAGATACACCAAA